ACCTCAGGGAAACCCGAGGCAACTTTTGAAACAACCAAGGAACATCGAGCCCCTCCCAAACGATAAGGGTTCCTTCTTCAGCGCCCCGACTGTATCCCCCTGGATGGGGACACAGGATGTTCCCTTCGGGCTTCGCGGGGGCTATCCCCAGCTGGGGCGGTACGATGGCGGGTTTGAGATGCCGTGGCCCATTGGGGATAGGCATCGGAGAAACGATACTGACCCTCCGCGGCCTCCCAGGTCTCCCCCCCCAGCTGCCTGGGGGGCACGAAGCACAGCGGCCAGAGCGGACCAAGAGGGCCCAAGGTCAACTTTCCTCCTTATTTGAGCACACACATCCTCCGCGGCCTCCCGGGTCTCCCCCCCCAGCTGCTCGACACAGCTCTGGGGGGCGCGAAGCACAGCGGCCAGAGCGGACCAAGAGAGCCCAAGGTCAACTTTCCTCCTTTGAGCACACACATCCTCCGTGGCCTCCCGGGTCTCCCCCCCCCCAACACAGCCCCAGGGGGCACGAGGCACAGCGGCCAGAGCAGACCAAGAGGGCCCAAGGTCAGCTGTCCTCTTTTGAGCACCCCCCCTGTGGCCTCCCGGGTCTCCCCACCCTGGGGGGGAAAGAAGCAAAGCGGCCAGAGCAGACCAAGAGGGCCCAAGGTCAGCTTTCCTCTTTTGAACACCCCCCTTCCGTGGCCTCCCGGGTCTCCCCACAGCTGCTTGACACAGCCCTGGGGGGGAACGAAGCAAAGCGGCCACCTCGGGAGCGGACCAAGAGGGCCCAAGGTCAGCTCGGACACCTCCAAGACGCCCCAAGGCGGCCCAAACAGACCCTCCTGACGGGCCCAGGGGGCCCGAAGAGCAGCCCTCTGAGCCCCCCCAGGAGACAAGAATCGTTGATGTCCACTGGTTGTTGTATGATGTTCGCGTACTTGACGTTCAGCTCCGCAGGGCGCCCACGACGGGCGAAGAGGCTCCCAAGCTCGCCCCTAGACGGCCCGTAAGAACCCGCAGAGGGCCCCAAGAAGGACCAAAGACAGGCCCAAGACAGCTCAAGAGGGCCCCAAAAGGGCCCCAAAGAGGGAGGACCCCAAGACGGCCCAAGATGTGCTCAAGACGGCCACAGTACGGCATCAAGAGCCCCCAAGAGGGCTTCAAGACAACCCAAGAGGCTCACAAACTGGCCCAAAACGGTCCCAGGACATTTCCAAGAGGGCCCAGGATACTCCCAAGACGGTTCCGAAGTGGCCGTCACCCCAAGACCGCATCGCAAGCATGCATCCGAGAGGCTCCAAGGCGGCCCTAAAACGCCCCCCCCCCCCGAGAAGCCAGAATTGTCGAATTCTAAGCTCTGCCGCGCTTCGGGATCGCGGGGACGTGCAGAGGAGCCCTGGAGGTTTCTTCAGCTCTTCTTGCGCTTCTATGGATGCGCCCGAGGACACGAGGAAGGGGAGCTGAGGGCTGCCCGAGTCTGACTCCGCCGGACCAAGGCCAGGCTAACGGCGACGTTGCTTGACGGTGATGTTGGGAGCCAACATGTAGGAAATCACAAACCACGCTTTCCGACATGTAGAGGCCGCGACTTATGGCCTGGGGAAGACTGTCCAAAGAATAATCGAAACGACCGCCCCAAAACCAGCCCAGGGGGCCCTGGCCGACGCTCGGACGCACTCCAGGACACTCTGCCCAGTATGATGCCTTTCTTGAGTTGCGTCTTGCTTCGAATGCTGCGCTCGCCCGCTCATGGAAGAATCGCTCGTCGGAATCCGACATTCCCCATATGCGAACAGATCGAGCGACCACAGCACGCGCTCCCAAGATACCGAAGCCTCCATCGCCGTCGCCTGCGTCGCCGTCAGCCCATCTTCGGCAGTGCACGCCACCGGGCCAGCACCGAAGGCCGCGGCCTCCCCCGAAGGAGCTCCCTCCTGCACCTCCACCTCCACCTCCTCCTCCTCCTCCTCCTCCTCCTCCTCCAGTCCTCCTCTCTCCTCTCCTCTTCCTCCTTCCTCCTCCAGTCTCGGATTTCCTTTTTCTATCCTCCTCCTGTCCTCCTCCTCATCCTCCTCCTCCTTCTCCTCCTCCTCCTCCTCCCTTCCTCCTCATCCGCCTCCTCCTCCTCACCTCCTTCCTCCTCCTCCTCCTCCATTCCTCGGGCTGTCCTTTTTTATCCTCTCCTACTCCTCCTCTCTCCTCCTCCTCCTCCTCCTCCATCCTCCTCCTCCTCCTCCTTCCCCTCCTCCTCCGCCCCATCCATGCCACGGGTCCCGCTGCCACCCCCAAAAGGAGCTCCAGAGGTGCCCCTGCCTTCCCCACTGCCACCCCTGCGGTGCGAGTGTTCTCTGGGCACGGCCAGAACCTTCAGCGCGCGCGCGAAGGGCGCTCGCGGTTCTGAGGTGTACAGATCTAGATATGGTATAACCAGAGATGCGTGCACTTATACAGTAAAGTACCTAAAGTCTCTATAATGTACTTAAATCTACTGGGCAGATACGTTCTGTATATCTGTATAGAAGTGAGTGTACTTATACAGTCATGTGTGCTCGAGTCTGAACGTTTGCGCCCATGCGTGTAGTCTAGTAGTCCCATTCGTGCTCCTGCCCAGCCTCGTCATCGGAATCAGTGTTGGCATCAGCATTACCTCCATCATCATCATCATCATCACCAGCATCCCCTGGCAAAAAGAGTGAGCCTCGTCTACGACAGGAACCAAAACTCGTCTTACCCCAGTCAACCCTATGATACGCTCAAGCATGCCTCTACGTGTATGCTAACTGCTCGGGTGCGTTTAGATTTACGTGTACGTATACACTCACGTCTTCGTTGTATGCGTGTCAGAACCATCTAGCGCGCTTCGCGCGCGCTCAGCTTGTAGCTGGCTCGATATGTACAAGGGCGCATAGCAAGAAGAAAGGTGCAGGAATAGGAGCGGTGAGAACGCAGAAAAAGGATACGGAGGAGGAGGTACGAGGACGGAAGAGCTAAGACAATATCTCAGGAACGCCGCGGAGCTACTGTAGCTCTGAAGTTGGGAATCCCACGAGTCATAAAACAATGGAGTGAACAATGCCTACACGCGTGGACTACTCTAACCTATCTGAAAGCCCTCTTGGCACACTCTTGTGACACCTTGGAAGGGAAGGAGGCGAGGGCAAGATGGAAAAGCTGGCGGGGGGATAATGAGGAGGAAGAGCATGCAGAAATACGAGTGCTGACAATGCGAACGGAAACACGGTAAGAGAAAATGGAGAGGACGCGCGCATGGATAATGAGCACGATGAACAGCAATGAGAGACTCGAAGACAACTGCGGCGAGTCGCCGCAGCCCCCCGGCCTTTCGGAAGAGCTTGTGTGGCCAACGTTGCGGAACACAATTACACTTGAGCGACGAAAAGAGTCGGGTCTTTAGCGGGAAGGAGGACGAGGAGGAAGTGGAGACGGAAGAAGAGACGTACAGGGCAGTTTTTAATGCATGGGATTGTTTTAAACATCGCACTTTTAATGCATGACTAATGTATGAATGAATGTATGCATGAACTCATCGTTGCTTTTAATACTAAATCCCTGCATTTTTTAATACATGATCCGCACGCGGAGCATGCATCAAAAACGGCACTGTAGCGACCTTACGTTTCGGCTTGCACGGGCCGCCCGCGCGGCGCGCCACCATCGGAGAGGCGCGGGCACCCGCGCGCGACCTTGCGCGGGCAGCTCACGCCCCAAGGTCGGCGCAGACGACCCCATTTGTGCGCGTCGCTCGCTTGTGGGCTGTGGCCAATGGAAAACTCACTCTACTGTTAAGTCGGGCCTGTCCCTACAGGGGGATTTTCGAGAAAACAATACCCCCCCACAAAAAAAAAAAAAAACAAGCCAAAAATAGTCTGGGGGCCCGCTCAGGCCGTCTTGGGGCTGTCCCGTGGCTCTTCGGGGGGCCCCCTTGGGCTTCTCGGAAGACCTCCTGAGGCTTTCTTGAGACGCTGTGGCCTGTCTTGGGTCCCTCTTGGGCCGTCTGGGGCCCCATCGAGGCCGTCTTGGCAGCCTAATGGGGCCCTTGTGTAGCCCTTGGCGCCCTCTTGGCGCCCTTTTGGCGCCGTCATGGGCCCTTCTGTAGCCCGCTTGCCCCGCTTCGGGCCCCTCTTGGGCAGGCTTGGGGCTAGCTCGGGAGCCTCACCGGACCATTTGAGGCCGTCTGGAACCGATCTCCGGGCGTCTTGAGCCGTCGTGGTCGCTCGTAAGCCTGAAAAGGCGACGAAATTAAAATCATTGAACCTTGATGAAACCCGCAATGCCAGCCTCTGGGAGCTCTCGTCGACCGCCTTCGGAGCGTCTCGGGTGCCTCTGGAGCATCATTCGTGCTTTGCGGGGCTGCCTTTAGGTTCCCTCGGGCCGCCGTCTGCGCATCTTGGGCCCTGCGGAGACGACCCCCTGCGATCCGACGGCGCGAAACAATCGAACACCACTGAAAAATCACGACCGGAGCCCTGGACCCCATCTTTCTGCGGCATCTTTTGATATCGACCGATCTGTGAGGACCCCGGGATCCGAAACCTGACGAAAACGCCCCGCCCCCACACACAAATAAGTGGTGCGCGCGCGTCCCTGCGCGCCGCCGCGCTGGTCCCGGGCAGGGTCGTGCTGCCAAGCGCAGGGGGAAGAGGAGGGGAGAAGCAGGCAGACGGCGACGAGCGCGCAGGCGGGAGGCCAGGGCTTTGCATGCGTCTAGTTCTACTCCCAACTAGAACAACAAGTACTCCGGATCTCATAACAATGGGGGGGGGTCTGCTTTTGGGGGGGGTCTGACGGGCTTCGTCAAACACAATTGTGGGGGGTTCTCGATTTTGGATCCTTTGTTGCCTGACTGGGGGGGTCTACTTGGGGGGGGTCCTAGACCGGCCGTCAAACACTTTTTTGACCCCCCCCCCTGTATTATGAGATTTGGAGTATGCACTGCGTCTACACCTCCTGCGTTTCCTAATCCTCCTCGTCTCGGCGGGGGGGCGGAGGCGCGCTTGTCGTTCGCAGCGACCAGGTGCGCGCCGGGCGCGATCTGGCCGCTGTTGGCGGCGGGAGATCCAGGCTTCACCTGGCCAAGGACAGCGGCAGCGACCAGCTGACCCCGCCATCCCTATCTTCTCCTCCTCCGCCGCCTTACCCATCTCCCGTCTCATCAGCGTCGTCGTAAAAGGCAAGACCTTCTCAAAAACAAATGCTCCGAATGGTTTTGAGCTTCTCGCCTGTTCGCTTCCAATGGGTCTCTGAGGCCTCGAAATGACCCCCAAGATCGCCTAAGAGCGCCTGAAAAGCGCCCCGAGAGCGCCACAAAAGGGTTCCAACAGGCGATATTTCCGGCCCATACGGGACAAGCCTAAATAAGGAACCAACTGATTAAGCGAAGACTCGAACTCCTGAACTTCCACCATCAAGTCAGTTTTTTGGACGGCGCTGCCCCAGATGATGCCTCTATCATCCTTGACCGGCTTCACTGCCTGCTCGGCCGCACGAGCGGCCAGCTTTGCCTTCTGTGCGATGGCCTTTGCTGCCTGCTCCACCTGATTGCTCGCATCGATGTCGTGTCCTTCCTCATGTCTTTCATCGTGCACACGCACGTATGTTTATTCACCATGTCCTTCACGTTCGTACAGTCGGGGCATTGACCTAAGGAACCCTAAAGAATAAGGAACGAGGCCCCTATATTCCATAAGTTAAACTTTGACCTCCCAAGGAAAACCTCGGGAAAACCCGAGGCAAACTGTGAAACACTTACGGAACACCGAGCCCCTCCCCAACGAAAAGGGTTCCTTCCTCAGCGCCCCGACTGCATCCCCCTGGATGGGGACACATGGGATGCACAGAGACATACTAATACTATGTGTCCGCCTTGGAGGCGCGCGTCCGACCCGAACATATAGTATACCCATCTTGTAGTATATCGTTTCTCGAGCGGTGTGGCCAGAAAGCGCCCGCCACGACGCATATACTATAAGATTTCTCGGTTCGCGCGTCGCCTCTGGGGGGGCGACGAACACATAGTTTAGTATAAGCCCGAAGGGAACAGCCTGTGTACACAGGCTGTTCCCTTCGGGCTTCGAGGGGGCCATCCCCAGCCGGGGTGGTACGCTGGCGGGGTCGGGATGCCGCGGCCCATCGGGGACAGGCATCGGAGAAACGATACAGTCTGGGCGTTGACCTAAGGAACCCCAAGTAAGGAACGAGGCCCAAATTTTCCACAAGCTAAACTTCGAGTTCCCTCGGCGCCCCGACTGTGATTGCTCCGCTTCCTCGTCATGTACGCGTTCCGTCCACTCATCCTCTGCGTTCCGCCTCCTGCCACTCGGCATATCGAACCTGTGCTCGACTCTGCCTTATTTCCGGCCTTATTATCCGTGATGCACATGCTGGTCGACTATCACGAGCCGGGATGCTCTAGACAATGAGATTTGAGCCACACGCCTTCTACTCCCTCGTCCTCCTTTCTGGTTCTTCTGATTCCTTGGACGCTCACTCGCAGTCTGAGTCAAATTCGCGACCATCATCTGCTCCTGAAGCGACGAAGACGACGACGACGAAGACGACAACAACAACAACAACAACAACAATCATTTTACCCGAACGCTCAGTGTTCTCACCAGTGCCAGGGTTTTCATGCGACGCGAGACAATACCCCCACTTCGTGGGGGGGCAGTTCAAGCTCTACAAATCAACGACTCTTCGCGACCACCCAAACCCTATTTCCAAACCGACTATCGCCACCACCCACACCCAGCTTCCCGCCCTATGACGTATGGACACTTCACTTCGTGGCGTGCGGACGACCGTGGCTACTACACTGGCGTGGGGTACACACCCACAGAACTTGGTCACTATTCGGGGCGCGCGTGTGCCCAGCATCCTGCAATTGTGACATACAATACATGACACAGACAGACAGAGAGAGAGACAGAGAGCAGACAGAGAGAGAGACAGAGAGAGCGGAGTGGGTCACAGTTTTGGGGCAAGTTCCTGAGATCGTCGTGTTTTTTGTTGGTCTTGCGCGCGCGAATGTCCACTTTACTTTTTTTTGCAAGGGAGTATTGAAATTTGATTATGTTAGAACAAGAAAAAGTAGCTCGCGCGAGCTCATGAAACATAAATGTTGAAAAACCATTGGTTTTGTGGGAGTCGGACAGCGCGCGCGGGATGAAATTTGGACATTTTTTTTTGAAAAACCATTGGGTTTTTGATGTTTTTATGTTGAAATCGTTACGAAAACTAAGGTTCTGGAAGGATTTCGTCTTGCGCGCGCGAATGTCCACTTTACCTTATTTTTTGCAAGGGATTATTGAAATTTGATTATGTTAGAACAAGAAAAAGTAGCGCGCGCGAGCTCATGTAACATAAATGTTGAAAAACCATTGGTTTTGTGGGATTCGGACAGCGCGCGCGGAAGGACATTTTGACAATTTTTTCTTAAAAAACCATTGGGTTTTTGATGTTTTTATGTTAAAATCGTTACGAAACCTAAGGTTTTGGAAGGATTTCGTCTTGCGCGCGCGAATGTCCACTTTACCTTATTTTTTGCAAGGGATTCTTGCAATTTGATCAAATAAGAACAAGAATTTTCATTTTATAGTGTTTTTTGCAAGGGAAAGCGGGGGGGAACAAAACAACCGGATCAGGGGTCCCAACAATAATTATTCTTAAGAAGAAATAATGTTCAACAACAACAACAACAACAACAACAACAACAACCCACGACGACGACGACGACGACACGCTGCAGCGGGCGCACCGCCATGACCATAGCGCCGCCGCCCTCCCCCAGGGGGTTCTCAACAAACTCGATGCCCATGGGCTTCTCCAGGACCACCGTCGCATAGCTCCTGCCGGCCACGAGAACGGCCAGCGGCGCGCCGCCGCGGCCGCGTCTCGGAGGCGACGGGTCGGGAACGGCCGCCAGAGATGCTGCTCGCGATCACCCTCCCCCTTCGGCTCTATCCTTGATTTCCTCCTTCTCATCCTGCCCCCCCCTGCCTGCGCCCTCAGGCGGTCGCGACAGAGATCAACACCCTCCCTTCTGAAAGGTCCTCCACCTCTTCCTCATCCCTCGGCTCCTCCTGCTCCTGCTACCTCTCATTCCTCCTTCCTCCTCGTCACGAAGTGCGCAACGCATCCGCGGATGCGTCCGTTGCCCCAACCCCCTCCGAGGCGTCGGAGCCACATGACTCCGCCCGCACCTGCCTCTTCGCTGCCGCCTCAGCCTCCGCCTCCCTCTGATGATGACCTCCGCCTGCACTTGCCGGCTGCCATTCCGCCAGTCCGCCATGGGGAAAAGGAGGATCTGCTCAGCACAGGGACTCCCTGAGATGCGAGCTCTGAACCCCTTCCCAGGGGCCATCTTTTCGTCCAAGGTCGCGTTCTGACGGCCCCACCGCTTGGAAAACAGCCCCTGCGAGGCCAACAATTACGGGCGCTTGGGAATCGGGTGCAGCGAAACGGGGGGCCAGGAAGATGGGGATTACCTGCCATCGCTCGGACGTCCATTCCCCGTGCGTTTGTCGGTGTCGTGCGTTCATGTTTTCGCAAGAGGATGCAAGATGCTCCTCACTGGTCCTCGCCGAGAACAACGCAAACATCCGAGCGATGCCAAGTAAAAAATGGCCGTGAGATCAGATCCCATGGCCCAGCCCATGAATTCCGCAACCTCCTAGTCCTCCGAGGACGCGTCTTCCGCCCGTCCGCGCCCCCTGCGCTCTTTCTCCTCTGCCCCTGCTCCTCCTACTCCTGCTGATGCCGCTGCTTCTCCTCCT